GTGGACTGCAGTATAGAATATTGAAACAGTCATATTGAGTTTCGAGTGATGCTATCTAATAAAATACATGGTCTGGCTTGAACTCTATACAAAGTCAATTATTTGAATTATCCTACAAGACTTAATTACCAAATTATAGTACATCCTTTTGTATAGTTTTCCATGTTACAGATCTATGTACTGTACTTTGATGCATTAATACATATATTCTGGTTTGTTGTATTCATCTCTACACATTAATTTTCAAATGCATTACTTTATCGTTTATTAATAAAAATGAAATCTATAATCAAAACAATTCAAATGTACTGTAATATTTTCATTATTCAATAATTGTTACATATAGTCTTCATATACAACCTTTCCAAGAAATTCATTTATATTGGACAGCAAATTAACAAGGGTTTTTCCATAATCAGACTTCTTAACTTTAGATGAACCATTGAGCTAAAACATTTTTTATATTTTTTGGCTACTGTGACCTACTTCTGATTTTCAACCAAGGTGATCCATGTTCAAACTCGAGTAAAACCTGTCACACACATTCTTACGATGTTGTGTGACGATTGGGGCAAAAGTGTGACAAGTAGAGTGTTAACAAACTAAATGACCAGCAGATTGTTAACAACTGTAATGTCATCGTCGGATACATGATTAACATTTAACATGACATAACTGATAAATGTAAATGGTTCGGCCGTGGGTATCCGACGATGCTAAATGTGGACAGATCACAGTTGACATAAGATGGATGAGTGACATTCAACAATCTAAAACCTCACCCTGAGCCAACCTATAAGTTTCACCACTGAAATAAATAATAAGATACTGCGTACTGATTTAGATGATGTGTCGCCATTATATCAGAAGTAATTAAATTATTGCTTTTCTATATATGTTCTTTACTCTATTGTAACTACGCAAGTTCATATAGCATATAAATATAAAACGACTGCTAGATTAGTTTTTACTATAAACAAATAAAAAGTAAAAGTTAATTATTTAAACGATTGAAAAGTCTAATTTTATGGGTATTTTTATTCATATACCTTTCTTATCGCGGGTCCAATGTGGTTTTCGGCTTTCCATGTTTTTAACGCTGACTGTTACATAGCCGAAAAACACAAGTTTTTCATACTGTACTTATTACAAAAAATAACTGACATTTTACAAAGGTAATAAAATTTATGTAATAGTTATTCATTTAAACGGTTGAAAAATGTATTTAGCAGCACTTTTTTAAATATATCTATTTTATCGCAAGTAAAATGTGTTTGTTTGTTTGTTTGTTTGATTTTGTTTTTGTTTTTTTTTTTTTTTTTTTTTTTTTTTGCTTTTCTATGTTTTTGACGCTAGGCAGTAACATAGCCAAAAAACAATTTCATACAATGTTTATTACAAAAATAATACTGATATTTTACATTGCTTACAAATATAATGTTATAATCATTCATTTAAACGGTTGAAAAATTCATTTAATAGTTCTTATTTTAAAAATGTCCATTTCATCGCCAGTAAAATGTGTTGTTTTTTTGCTTTTCGATGTTTTTGACGCTAGACCGTTACGTAACCGAAAAACACTTTCATACTGTATTTATAAAAATAATACCACTGACATTTTCCATTGGTAACAGAAGAAAGTAATAGTTATTCATTTAAAATGTTGAAAAAAAATAGCGGCTCTTGTTTTAACTACGACTATTTCATCGCCAGTAAAAATGTGTTTTTCGGCTTTTCCATGTTTTTGACGCTAGACTGTTACTTTGCCGAAAAACACTTTCATATCGCATTAAATACAGAATAGAATCATCCTCTAATTTACACTGGTTGCAAAAAGAAAGTAAATTTTAATCATTTAATCATTTAAAGGATAGAAAAAAGTAGATAAAACTAATTTTGTTGGAATTATACCAATTGTATCGCCGTAAAAAAAGTGCTTTTCGGCTTGTCCATATTTTTTAAGCTTACCCGTTGAGTTTCCAAAATAATTTTTATAGTGTGTTCTTTTCGATATAATGCTGACAATTGATAAATTTATTGATCGGAATTGTGAAAAACAATTTCTCTAGTGATTAAAATGGAAATTAGCATATATTTTTTTTTGCCTGTGACATGTGTTTTTCGGCTTTTCTATGTGCGACGCTATCTCGGCGAATATATTCATCAGCGGTTTTTATGATATATTATCGATTTAAAACTGATATTATTGAACCCATTTCATCAAATAACCATCAAAAATTGTTTATATTGCTGAATTTAATCACAGCCTTAATATTTCTTTGTATTTTAAGTGTTTTTCTGTATTTTTTAGCGTTTTTAGGTGTTTTTCGGCAATTCCATGCACCCATTATTATAAGCAGATTAAAATAATTCCTATTTTCTGAACATAAATTTAATTTATTTATTTCTTAATGCTTACACTGATTAACAGTTTCAAATGATTATTTCTTATCGTCGAATCTGGCCACATATGCCTATATTTAGCTCCATGCTCTGGCTTAATCGTCAATATCCCAAGTTCGACGAATTGTTATGGGTCGAACGGTCGAGCGGCCGAATCTTTATTTTTACCCGTACTGAATCAGGCAATCTCCGCTGAATATCGAAACATACTTCTTTTCAAAAATCTAAGGCATACAAAAGTGAAAGGAAAATCATGTGTAAAAAAGGTATTCAAGAGAATAGCTTACGATTTTGTTATTTTTCGAAGCCACGATAATTGCCAGGTTTTTAAAGAAAAACAAAAAGAAAACAACATTTTCCGGTATACGTTGGTAAATTTTGTTACGGAGCTCCATACTGATTTTGTAAAACATTTTAGGCCAATTTTATTGCATAAATGTAAATCAGGAATTTTATTTGATTAAATATCTATCTGAGATGTTTCGTACCATTTATATAATTCTGACGAGTTTACTATATTTACGATGTATTCACCCAGCAAACACATGACGTTAAAATAACGTCAGATTATAGTTAGATTTTGGTCACGACGTCGGCGACCAAAATACGACGTAAATCTGACGTCCAAAAACCGATGTCTATTAGACGTTTCTTTTTGTCGTCGTACTAACGTCAGGTTCTGGTCGGATTCCTGACAGTAGGTAAAAAATTAACGAAAGGTAATCCTTATTCGCTGTTGTAATCATTTAAACTTTTTTTAAATGTTATTTGGCTTACACTATAAGTGTATATATATATACAAGTAGAGATTTTGATGCTAAAGCATCAAGTCGCCGGATAGAAATATGATTGTATTATCATAAATAAAAGAAAATATCAGTTTAATGGTTCGAGTATAAAGAAAACAGGAACAATAAGTTGAGTAATGTTTATTCATATATAAACACGTTTTCATGTACTTGCGGCAATTATATCTTTCTTGATATAAACTTTGTAAAAGAGTTTTATTCAATAAATTTATGTTTTGTTATAATAAAACATCATATTTGAAGCAAACTTGCTTAGCAATTTTGTCAAGAAACTGTTATCATTATCAAATAAGCAAGTATTGTTTGGCAATATTTACCCGAGACTCAATAATTTTCGGGAGCTGTTTCGTTAGCTTACATAACTTATTATGCTTAATGTTAAAGATTTTATTTTAAGTATAATTACATGTATAATTATATCAATTAATACTGATCGATGGCCTAGTGGTAAGTATGATGAAGTTGTAACCTACATGTAGTAGGCGCAAGTTCGAATCTTGGACAAATCCTGTGTGTAGTTTTCATAAATTGATTTTTATTATATCTTTTAACTTTATGAAACATAAGTTGATAAATCGTGTGTTTCATTTCTAGCACCTTTTTATTTTATAATTTTGATAAATGGTCAAGTTTTGCAAAATACAAAAAGTATTATAAAAGAAAACATAAAAAATCACTTTATCGAACCTACAGTTTTCAATTTGAAACTAACTTAAAATATAACACTTTGTCATCGAGGCTTGTAAAGCAAATGATATGATTATAATTCTACTTGCAATTCTACTTTATATATAATACCGTTGTACCATACATTTGAACTCCGTATGGTTTACTTCAGATTCCGATAGTTACCGACAAATTATTACCGATCATCGAATATTTGCAAAGTGACTATGCAAATATATATGCTTAATTATTGCATAAAACAATGCAATTCTACTGTAAAAGTGGTGTCTGCATAAAATATCATTCATATGCACTATCGGAAAAATATATTATTTAACTGAAATCAATAATACAATCTAGTTAACGTTTAATTGCCTTTCAGTGCGATAAACTATCAACACAAAGATATTTTATTAGTTTTCTCTGTGTATCCAATACGATTCCGGCCCCTACTGTCATACCGAGATTTTTCTTTACAAAATTACTTTGATTTGCACTTTTATCAGCTGCCAACCATTCATAAGTTACCTGTATTTCTGTCTTATCAGCCATTTGTTACATGTACTATTAATAGATTTTATAACACTAACATACAACGTGTAGTCACGTGATTCTGGGAGAAGCTGTTTATAATAAATAAGATAAAAAATAGAATAGGTCTCATAACATACAAACAACCAGATAATTTAAAAGTGTCATTTCAAATATCATGCATGATTTATTAATCATAAAATAGCAACGCTTGACACTTTGAAAAAAAGGAAAAACATCCCTAAATTCAATGACTGATCCATAGGGATACGTCATTATTTCATTTTATAAAAATTGTAATGTTGCTTTTTACGATATCAATATTTGAATATTTCATTTTATTGAGCAACATTATTGTATGTTTGAATTTTTGAGATTACTGAAAACAATTGTAGTCTTTAATTGTTCAGTAATTGTTATGCTTTTATTTACAGAAATTAATGCCTTCTCCTACCATAGGTATAATATTAAACTGTTACAAATATAGTCGCCGGTTTCTACCGGCGACTAACAAGTGCCTTTCGAAGACCACGTGCGCGGCGCTGCAACCTAATAAAACATATAGGTGGCGCTGTATATATAGGTTAATTACATGTGTTATTGTTATGAAATCTATTTATAGCCACAGATCTGTTAACGAGTTCCAATCATTTAACGTTACAGTATCATCATTTGTGGTACATTATATGTATCAAAATCACGACTTTGTAATAGTTCTTTAATATTTAATCATAGTGACAGGAAAAGGAAAGAAAACATAATTATAATTCGAATCTACAGCCACATGGATGGAAAATTCAAATTCGTAGGCGTTTCGTATGTCAGGAATCGGGATGCATTGATAAAGTGAATATTACAGATTTTCTTGAACAAAAAGGTCAGTTCAATTTATGTAAATTTATTTCTACTTTGTATTTGAAAAATAATTGCATGCATTCTTAGATTTAATTATCATTATTTGAACAGTTGAAGCAAAATGTCACACAAATTCGCGATAATGTTTGATAATGAATCATTTCAAATTTGGCATGTTTTAACTCTGCTCGTGAAGAGTTTATAATGTGCCTTTCAGTATAACCAAAGAGAATGCTGAGTTTTCATATTCTTGTTAAACTATTATGTTTTTGTCACTTAAAATCTGAGAATTGAGAATGAATTGATACGATTTCGAGCATTTCGGACCAAGACGTTTCGGTCCTAAATAACCCAAGACGTTTCGGTTTCAAACATTTCGGCATTTTCCCAAACGGTCCTATATTTTGATCAGAATAAATCTTACCTTAATGTGTTTTACACCAGATTTTAATATCATTCTAAAAAATGAACGGGAAATAAATGAAAGAGCGAATTGATTGATTATGTAATATAGAATGAGGCTTCATATAATCATTAGTAGGAAAAATGTAATCAAAACAACATAAACTTTTTAATAAAACGTAGTACATAAACATGCATTTATTATCAACAATTTCTAAACACTCTTTAATTTGAAACTATGAAAAATTTAAGACTTGCGTAACTGTTCTATTTCAAAAGTAGAATATACATAAGTTAGAATATAATTTTCTTTTCAGGTAGTTCAAGCGTTTGACATGCTCTCAAAGGTCGGAGGGGCAGAAATACGTGATAATGTGAAAAGAAACATGAATCATGGGAAAGTAAGATTTTGTAAATTCTATTACATAATATAATCCATACAAAACTGGAGTTTTAAAGCGTTTTTTTAAATTTTCAGTATTTATGTTTACTTTTAATTTTTGTTAAAGCTCACTTCTGAAAAGCTAGCAAAGTTGTTCATTAATTTAAGATAACTTTCAAAATTTCATAAGGGCAGAAAACCATGAAAAATTTTTGCTTGTAATTTTTCCAATTTTCATAAATTTCTTTTTTTTTCAGTGAAAATGATATCACAAACGCCATTGGCCATTAACATGTTACATCCTCCGGACAGAGGGGTGGTGAGAGAAGGTCATATATATCTATATATCTAAAGGCATCATACCTCCAAATTCGTGCTAATTCTCGTGGATATTTAAAAGTACATTTGTGTATAACTTTGTGAAGTAACTAAAAGGAAGTAAATTATACGTTAGTGACAATTATCAAAAGGAGGTCAAAATATGAAAAATACCACTAAATGTTTTAGTAATGCTGTAGAAATATAGTTAAAATACTGAATATCTGTCATTAATTGCTTGAAACATTATTATCCGAATCTTTTAACTTTTCTTAAAATTAAAATATTTTCATTATTTTGTTTGATTAGGCAAACTTTGATAGAAATATACATACGTTTTGTTCATTGATATTTGTATATGATTTCTTAGTTTCATTTATGTCATTTTTTTGTAATACTTTTTGTTTTGTTATTAACTTATTTTATGTTTTATTTGGTTTAGTTTATGAAAAGTATTTAGCCTTACAGAATTAACTAAAACTGTATGTATCAGCTTTAAATTGCAACTTTTATCTTAAATAAAAAAACAACATAAAACATATTTTTGCTTTTAGTTTTTTGTTATACATTTTATTGGAGTGAAAGTTACTTAAAAGAATGAGTGACATTACATTTGATCAAATCTGGATTGGCCAGAAAATATTTATAACATTGTAAACAAGGAGGAGTAGGGAAATGATCAGATTAAGGTCAGTCAGAAAATGGTCACGTCTAGGGCAGAAAAAGGTTAAGATTTAGATCGGAAAATGTTCAGATCAAGGTCGGAAATTGATCAGAAACTGGTTAGATTTAGGTTGGAAAATGGTCAGATTGAGGTCGGAAAATGGTCAGAAACTGGTTAGATACCGGTCAGATTTTGGTCGGAAAATGGTTAGATTTTGGTCAGAAATAGTTAGATAATGGTTAGATCCTGACGTCTATCTGACGTCAGATTATTACGTCAAGAAAACTTTTTTTTTTTTTTTTTTTTTCACTTTTTTTCCACGAAGCATGGATACAAGTTTTATTGATATCTCAAGGCCCAACTGGGCATGTGAGAAAACAACAATATAACAAATGTTTACAAAACAAAGTAAAGTGATACATAATTGAAATGGCAATGTTATGAACATAATTATGTACATAAAAAAAGAGAACAAAATAGAATAAAAAAATAGAATAAAAGTATAACATATTTATACTTAACAATTTAGAATCGGAGAATGAGATCAAAATGAAAAAAAAATATATCAATATGTATTATTAAGCACAAAGATTATTTTCTTACAGAATATTGCTAGATTGAATAAAACATTTTTGCTTTCACTATTCATTAAATTTGAAAAATTAATAATGTTAGGTCTATGAAAAAATGAATTGTCTAAATATGTCTTTCTCAGGTGTTGAAAATAGAAACAGTGAAATAAATAATGAAATTCATCACCTAACAAATTATCAGAACATAAACAGCACACTCTTAGACTTCTATCCAAATTAAAAAATCTACCTGTTTCAATTGGCATTTTGTGGTTCATACATCTAAATTTGAAAAACGCTATTGCTAAATCTGATGGTAAAATGTTAAAGTATTTTTCAAAACCAAATTGAATTTTAAAAATTCTATAATTCAGACATTTACTGGATTCATGAATAGAAGATTGCCAATCTTGAATAAACTGATCCTTAATTCTAGCAGAAATAATTTTCTTAAAATGTGGGACAGAACTAACTGTTTGAAAAATCCAATAACTTGACAGACCGAGAGAATCTAAAGAAGTATGCACAAATTTCAACCAAGGAAAATCCACATCAAAATCAGAGTAAAGTTCCTTTGACATGCAATACAGCATAGAACAAATTTTATCTTTTTTATCATTAATCAGTTTTCCCCAATAGTTCAGAACTCTTGACTTAATTTGCAAAGACAAAGGCAATATTCCTAGCTCGCCATAAATCATACATGATGGGGTAGATTGCTTCAGTCCGAAAACTAATTTAATAAATTTCAATTGGAAACGATCAATTATTTGTACATTTTCTACTCCATCCATATAAAATAATAGGAGCCACCATTGCATCAAATTAACGCAATTGTATATCATATGGTGAGGCAAGTTTCCGTGACTTTGTTAACACAGAAAACATAACTTTTCGACCTTGATCAATCAGTTTTTTTTCTGGTGCCTAAATATTTTCCGTTTTATTGAAAATTGAACCCCAAGATAATCTAAACAATCTACGATCTCAAATATGTTACCCTCAGACTCTAGAGGATTAATATTATTCAACCCCCTTTTACTTTTACAGAACACAACAATTTTTGTTTTGGCAGTGTTAACCTTTAAACCCCAAGTATTACAGTAATCAGACATTGCATTTAATGCTTTTTGTAACTCATTAGGACTTTCAGCTAAATAACTGTATTGTCAGCATAGAGCAACATAAACAATTAAAGATAAACTTCAAAATCATCTGTGCTAAAAGTGTTACTAACACTGTTAGACAGGAAATTTAAACTTTCACATCTTTGAGACAGGAACGAGTTCAAGTCATTTAAAAACAAAGACAATAAAACTGGGGATAAATTTTCTCCTTGTCGGACGCCAGCCAGACTTGAGAAAAAGTCAGAAAAATGGTCACTGACTCTAACACAGGACTTAATATTTTCATACATATTGTGTATTATCTTAAAACATTTACCATCTATATTTGAACTTAATAACTTGTTCCATAAAGCAAGTCTATTTACAGAATCAAAGGCTTTTCTATAATCAATAAAAGCACAAAATAGTTTTCTTTTGTTAGCCAAGTACAAATCTATTAAACATTTAAGTGAAAAAATATGATCAACTGTACTGTATTTCTTTCTAAACCCGGCTTGCTCTTCACAAAGAATATTATCAGATTCTAAAAAATTTATTCAACCGACTATTCACAACAGATGTAAATAATTTACCAAAACAGCTCAAAATTGTTATTCCCCTGTAATTGTCAGGATCATTAATATCACCTTTATTCTTGTATAAAGGAAGAATTACCCCTTTACTCCAAATTTCAGGGAAGAAACCTGAATCAAAAATAATATTAAATAGTTTGCAAACAACTGGTAACATTGAACAGGGCAAATTCTTAAGATATTCATTTAAGATATTATCCATTGGTGATGCAGATTTGTTGTTCTTTAAAGCCTTTAAAACTGACTGAATTTCATTAACTGTAAATGGTAAATTTAATTCCTCATTGTAGCTGCTTATCTTATCAATGTCTACCTCGTTAAAATTTTCTTCATTATGAAAGTCTACATTATTTAGATCCTTAAAATGATCATAAAAAAACCTCGCATGAAATTTTATTTATCACAGTTTTTCTTTCACTGGAGTACTTATTAAGAAGATTCCAGTAAGATTTGGGATCACTGTTTTTAAGACCTTTAATTTTGTTTACAATGCAGGTATTAAACTCTTTAAATTTTTTGTTAATTTCCGTCTTATATTGTTTGCTTCTCCTCTGCATATCTTCAAAATTTTCTAAAGATCTGTTTACTCTATACTTATTTTTTGCTAAAAAATAACCATTCCTAGCATTTCTACAACTCTGATCAAACCAAGGCTTGTCTGAACATGCTGGCTTCTTAACCTTACTTTTTTATCTTTTAAAGGATAACTATTCTTGATCAAATTACAGTTTTGAGCTGCAGAAAAAATCACATCTGAAACTTTTTCTGTAAGATGATTTATTTTACGATGATCAAAAACATTCAAATGAGTACAGTCCTCTAGTTCTTTCATAAGATCTGATACTAGATTGTTATCAAATTTACTAATAAAATCTGCTCTGGCCTTTTTGTCCCACAATGCTTCGTGGATTACACTATCAGATTGAAAACCATCATTACCCTTGTTTTCATCATCATCCTCTGCCTGAACCTCACAAGAATAACAAAGTTCTAAAACACAGTGAACATCAGACAATAAAGGATCAAATTCTTTAACATCAAAGAAGGTTATTTTTGGAAATAAACTACCAGATAATAAAACATAGTCAATAACACTATCATATATAGTTGTGGTTTTACCTATGTAAGCATCAGCACCACACCTTCCATTGGCCAGGTATAAGCCTACCAATTTACAAAGTTCCAAAAGCCTACGACCAAAGTTGTCAGGACGATGATTATCACAAGTAAAACGTGATGTTGTAAAGCCAAGTTCATTAAGCTGATTCGTACCAGCAATATTATAGGTAGCATGATCAAAGTTCAAATTTGCAATGTAACTATCTACTTCCTGAAAATCACTCAGTCTGCCAGTTTTTGCATTGAAGTCACCCAACAAGCAAAATGTGCAATCATGATATTTCCCAGAGAAATCAAGTAAAACGTTCTCTAAATCATCAAAAAGACTTAATGTACTATACTTAGAACTCTCCGGTGGTAAATAAATCACCCCAAAAATACAATTGTCATTATTGAATTTGAACCAAATAAAGTTTTCATTACAGTGTTCAAGCATCTGAAAATGTTTCACAAATATATCTTTGATAAACATACCAACACCTCCAGATTTACGTTTACATTTTTCCCTATTAAAACTCTTAAAAGTATACCCATGTACATAGGGCACATCAAATTCATCAAGCTTTGTCTCAGCAAAGCAGCAAATATCATATTGTTTTATAAAATAATCAAATTCTGGTAATAACAACTTAGAAGTTAAACCATTTACATTTATAACGATAAACTAATACTATTTCGTTTTTTGGCACACAGTAAGTATGCTCATTCAAAACATGAATATCAAGTGCATCAACATTTTCATTATTAAGAAAAGAATTAAAAAGCAATGTATCATCATTAGAAACATGAGATGAAATATCCTTTAAATAGGGTAGGTTCATGTTTATAGCAACAGAAGATCCGTTGTTGACATTGTTTACATCCTCAAGGATAGTTTCTGAAGTTTGAAGTTCTGAACACTTTGATTGAGAACATTGAATTGAATGTTGAATAACATTATGATCAATCTTTTGGCTTATAATAGAAGTTAAATCTTCTGAACACTTGGAACAAGAACACTGACTAGAATGTGGAATAATAGTATTGCAATCCACCTCGTTGCTTCCTTCAGAGGAAATTTCAAGTTCTGAACACTTGCACTGAGAACATTCGTTAGAATTTTGAATTTGAGTAACACACTTATCATTCTTGTGTTTAATTAAAGAACTAGTTAAGTTTTCTGAACACTTGCACTGGGAACGTTGATTAGAGCATCGAGTTACATTATAATTAACCTTGTGGTTTGTTTTAGAAGTAGTTAAAAGTTCAGAACACTTGGAATTAAAACATAAACTGGAATGCTTAAGAAAACACGAACAATTTCTAACATTCTCCGGATGACATTAAATCAAATGTTTAAGTCCAAGAAGCTCCAAATCAGCCTCAACATCAATATGAAACAGGTCGTCAGGTGAAGACAATACCACATGCTTCTTGTTGTAAGTACAATGGATAGTGCCATCGCGTGTAAATACATTTGTAACCCCTGGGCTTTTCTTGGCGATACCAAATATCTTGAATCTCAAAGTAGTCAGATCATCCGTGATATAAACTCCTCTATAAGTATCAGATAACTTGAGAAATCTCTTCACTTTAAATACTTGGATCAGCTTAGCCCTCGATATAAAACGAACTATCACTTGCTGTTTTCCATTTCCTTCAAGGGATAACATACACTAATGTCATTGATGCTAAACCTTTGTTGACCAGCATGATTACCTGACAAATTTTCTGACTGAGAGTGAGACATGTTACCTTCCTCATGACCTTGCTCAACTTGTTTCCGACTGAGATCAAGAATATGATTAAGAAGAACAACAACCTGACCTGACAAGTCAGAATCTAGGTTGTATTTCCAACCATGAATTCGTAGATTTTCCCTTCTTGTATATTGCTCAAGCCTGTCAAGCTCATAGTGATTAGTACGTACAGCACATCGAACCTTTTCAACTTCAACTTTGGAGGAAAAGTTTTTTAAGGTATTAGCACCCTAATGCATTACCTCCGCTTTGAAGAGTATTCTAATAGGCTAGAACTACTGTTAACTACATTGAAAATGAGGGTCATGGGTTCAATCCCCAGAAGGGTCAACTTTTTTTTTCTTTCTTTTTTTCTTTTAACATTATTTATGTATCTCTCATGTCCCATTTGGAAAGAAAAAAGTGTTTAATTTTGATTTTTTAATTTATATAGGTATTTATTGGCTAAATTATGCTAAATATAGTAATAAATATGGTACCTGATATTTTCAAAGTGTAATATAATCAAAACTAGACGGTAAAAGTATTTCATATTTTACAAGATAAACCAATATACTTCTTTAAAAATTTAGGGAAACTTTGAAAACAGGCACTCATTTGGGTAAATTTTAAGAATTTTTTAAATTAGGCTCCCTAAGTAGAAAAATGGTCAGACACGTGGTAAAAATGTGTGGGGTAGGGTAACATTTTTATACAGATTTCATCAATTTTAAGTAGAAACCATAATTTTGCTTATTTGGATTGTTAGCTGAATGGTACTATTTGTTTCTTACCAAAAATTAATGGGAAAACATTTTTCATTAGAATGTTATTGCAAATTATTTAAAGGTTCCTACTTTCTAAAAAAGGGCCCTCATAACATCTTAGCTTGAGTTCAGAAAAGTGGCCATAACTTGATTTCCGTACGGTAAACTTTGTTTAAATTTTGCATACAGGTGTACTTTAAGGTATACATCTGACTTATGATGTCAATTTTTTAGTTCCTGATAGTGCCCATTAGGGTCCTAATACCTTAAAGTATCCATTAACATATCAAATTTTTCATCCAATTTCGATTCAATTAGGTCAGAGATTGACTGTAAGTCAAAGGAATCATTCTTGTTCTGTACCTTCTTCTTACTCATGTTGGATACTTGTGTCATAAATCTTTGGTACGAAAGTACTTGGTGCGAACGTGGAATTCAAAACTGCTTAAATCAGTATAAAAAGTCTCAACACGATTAAAAGTCTGAAATAATCTCACTGACTTTGAAAATAGATTATAATCGTTGATAAATCACACACAGCTTTATATTATCGAACTCATCGCCATGATAACATTAATATACAACTTTGTTTTGAAATGTCCGCCATATGCAAGACGTGACCTTGACAATCTCGCTTCAAATCCGACCGTTTTTCCGACCGTCATCCGACGTCAGAACCTGACTTAAATCTGACGTCAGTATGACGTCTTGTGTTTGCTGGGCATTCATGCTAGCAAGCGCATGCGTATATGCGAAGTTGAACGCGTAGGTATAAACTACGATTTTATCAATGAACTGTTATTTTTGTTTTCTTTAAAGGTATGTAGAGTCTATTATTTCATGAAAATGAACGATTTGGAACTTTCAAAACATTTAAACAACTTTGCAAACACTATTTTAATGACGTGTAGTCGGAATGTAACGCTACTGCAAAATGAAGAACTAGTTTCTATAGCGGTTTTTATCCGGGAGTGGATGTTGTTCGGTAACGACTTAACCTGTAACGATTTCTGAGATATAGCTTATAACTCTGTATACATTGCAAGCAATGTATACAAAAATTGCATGGTTTGTTGGCTTTAACCGAAACGCATATACGAAAATAACATGCAGATTACCAAAAAATCCAACAACCATTAGACAAGACAGAATAACTACAGCTGGAATAAACCTTTCCGAGTTTATTTCATCAGCCATTTTATGTACAATTTTCCAACAGTTAACGGTGAAAGAACTTAGTTGAAATGTAATAGATAGCAATTATACCATAAGGATAGTTATAATACAGTGGAAAACAGATGCAATACAGGAACACAATATTGGAAATGGATCGTTGATTAGTTTAAGAAAATGTCAAATGTTTATTAAAATCAACAATTATAGATGAATTCATCATCGCATAAACAGGAAAAATACTTCAAACCTGCACGTAATTACTATATAAATTTAGTACAGTTACAACGAGATTGACATAGACATACTAAAAAAACAGTGCAATAGAATTTATATTGAAGAATCCTTTTTCATATCTTATACATTTATAAAAAAAACACAATGGCCGCTGTGGTGGAAATCCAGAGACGATGGTTCTTGTCCTGGCTGCAATGTGCCGAGTATTCGTGTGAAAAAAAAAAACAACAAAAAAACAAAACAAAAAAAACAACAAAAAAAACAAGCGAACATACACAAAAAAAAAAAAAAAAACATTTCAGGTTCATGTCATTTGTGCAAAGAATGCCTAGATGGGTATATGAGTTAGTTTCACCTATAATTTTATTTTCCATTGTCTTTTGTTGCTGCATTTATCATTGAAAACGAGAACTTTGCATTTCGTTGCGTTATAAAAGTAATGTTCCTTTTTGGCATAATTGAAGCATGTATCTATAAGTTCATCGAGCCCTTTTTTGACATTTGGAATGATGACCATATCATCAGCTGAGGTTGGACATGCACATACTATGTTGTGAATTTTATAGCTACTTTTACACATGTCAATCCTGTTCAGTAGCTCATTTTTGAAGAGGATGTAGAATTGAGGACTACAACATTGTCCTTGACGTGTACCTTGCAGCACGGGGAACCAGTCGGAGACAAATCCATTTTATTTTACACAACTGTAACAGTTTTCGAAGAACGATTTAAATATTTGAAACAAAGATATATCAATACCACTTTGATACAGTTTTAGTAACAATGATGAAATCCAAGTGTGATCAAATGCTTGTTTCGCATCTAAAAAACATGTATACATTGGAGAATTATTTTCTATGGAGTATAGTTCACATTCGCGAAGCATAAATGCTGTCATCAAACAGCTAACGTTTTTTTGAAAACCACCTTGTGATGGATAAAATGAATGCCACCATCCATTTCTGCAATTTGTAGAACGACCTTTTCAAATAATTTTAACAAGGCGGAACAAAGGGAGATAGCTCTGTAACTAGCTGGATCATTTCTCTTTTTATTACCTCCCTTAAATAAAACTGTTATTATGCCTTTTTCATATCTGTAGGTGTGTGTTAGAATTCAAACATATGATTGAAGAGTTTGGTGATACATTTTATCAATGATTGATTTGTATAGTAACATGCTAATATACCGTCTACTACAATCGACGGCCTTTGTAGACATAAAACTATACCACGAGACCGTCGATATCTATAAACTAGAAATCGACGGTCTCTCTACCCATTGACGGTTTTCGACGGTCTTTAGAATATATACAAATGTGCATTAACTCACAAATTTATGTATGTATTTTTTTAAGCTAAAACATCGAAATTATACTACTGCTACTATGCTACTAAGTACTACTACTACTTATAATATAAATAAAAAATATTAGACATTGATATTAATTAATAAATTTAATAGCATTTTTATATTCCAATATATTTTATTGTCTTAAAAAAATGGCATGTTATATTAATGTTAATGGCATGTTAATGTTTTATCTTTTTAATTTCTAAATCGTATTTGTTATTTTACAAATTATAAAAAATACTGAAATCAATAAATTATCGTCTTAAATACTCGGCTTATTGACCGGCTAAATTAATTAATAACGATATAATATCCATTAAATTCATGTATAATCACGAGACCGTCGGTTTGTATAGTTTTATATATTTTTTTTTTATTTTCCCCTTTTTTATCTATTCATTTCTTTCCCCATTAATATCCTTAAATATTGAAATTAAAAAAGTATCGTCGTAAAAGAAAAATGTTAATTGACCTATTATTAATTATTTCTAAATTATTCTTATCAATTCATCGCGAGACCGTCGATTTGTGTTATAACCTACTAATCGACGGTCTCCTACAATCGACGGTCTTTACGGTCTTTGGAGACCGTCAAAGACCGTCGATTTTGTGGAGGCCGTCGTTTAGTATCCCCCCCCCCCCGATTTAGTGGTGTCTGTCCGGAACATCGGGCGATCCGAAGGATGACGGAAAAGACCGAAAGGTTGCGACTGCTCGGATATATTGACAGGATTACGAGAATGGAATTATTTTATTTTATGCCTTCGTTTTGACCATTTTATTGTGATTTAGAAGAATTTCAAAATGCCAGAAAAACCGGACAATTTAACATTTAAGCAGACGCTTAAAATGCGTCGGAATTATGTAGGGTAAGTTTGTTTACGTGCACAGGTGGAAGACTTACGTAAAAAATACATGACATATTTATTTACCTGACATTGAACTGTTGAACTAGAGTTACATGTAATGATGTATACGGGGAGATACATGGCTGTCAATGATAACCAAACAAGAAGACATATTATTCACATAATAAAGTCACAAGCATTCGTGTCAAATGTCGAGAAATTAACGCCAATAGATAGTTAGATATTAATTAATTAGTTATTAATTGGGTAAAATTTATATCTTCGTAATGCGAATTTTTGATACTGAGATAGACTAACAGGCTCAACAGATTTTTGGCAATGATTGCAAGTGAATTTATTTAAATTATGGTCTCAGAAACTATTGAAAAAATTTATTTATGTGAACTTGAAGGATAATTAATTTCCAGATTGTATGATGTTAGTCATAATTAACTTCCTCTCCATTTAAATATAGTTTTTATACTGTGGCTATGTGCCAAAACAAAGTTTTTATCCAGCACCCCTTAACTATATTGTCATACTAATATTACTGTGTATTTAACTCGATGTAACATATTTCCCGGCACCGTCAAAATTTTGCACTCGCCATTCTTGATAGCCTAAGTGCACTGTTTGAAGTGCAAAATATTTATTGTCCAATCGTTGCTAAAAGTATGACATCATCTATATGTAATAGAAAGAGCGTCGAAACAAGAGCTATCTGATTTGTACGAGGGGGCGTAGCCCGCTGCCCCCGAATATCAATCAGATTGCCGAGTGTTTTGATGTTCTTTCTATTTTGTATCATAGTCAAACATAAATTATACACGTTCTCTGTTGTCACAATGAGTCCCTAGAAAAAAGTAACCAATGAACGAGCATCTGAATATGATATTTCAGTCACTTTCTCTGCCGTCGCAATAAGTAAACCCCAGCAAAAATGAGCCAATCAATGGGCATGCTCTGGAGTGCGGGTAACTAATACCTGCACTCCAGTTAACGCACTGTGCATGTATTTGTATACGATTTAACTCTGAAACATCGTCAACAGAAAGGTCCCCAGACTATGATACAACTTCATTTAGATTCAATAAAATAATCAAACATGAAAAATCACCCCAAAAGTGCGGTGTCATGTTTTGTGCCACTGAAACTACATTATTTAAATCATATTTACAATAAATAAGCATTCATTCCAGGGTTCATGGGGCTCATAATATGTTGTTGCCATCATTTGGAGGGAAAAAAAATTAATGACAGAAAGAGCCAGAAAGTGGGTATTACAGAAATACTTTAAAAACTACAATTTTAAATAAACATATCAACAAACATCAATTTAATAAAAATAATTGGTGTTGTAATGTCTGCTATATTATAGTTACTGGGCAGTATGGGTAGAGAGATTCAACAACACAGTTCTTGGTTTCTAAATCTATTTACTAGTGATACTACAGAGAGGTGATGCCAGGTGATATAACTTTAAGGTGGGGCTTATCAGCTAGTGGCTAATACTACCTGACCAATAGCAAGTCAATATATTGCAGGTGTTTTTTGTTTTCTCTTCCAGGAGATCTTGTAAGCTGCATTATGAAGTCTCCCCCCTGAAGATAGTAAGGGCCTCCCGACAGTACATGTATGATGACTCTGGTAATGAATATCTAGACTGTATCAACAATACATCTCATGGTAAGTTTTGTTAAGTGTTGTCTTGCCTATAGATGTCAGTGTTCAGGGTTCATTAAGCCTTGTCAGACCAGTCTATATTGTTTGACATACAATATAATTAGTGTTGGCTTTTCAGTAATAGTGTTACAATATATAACAATGCCTAGTAAAATAGCAATGAATATTCACGGTTCCAAATTCAAAGGAGGGCATTTTGTCCAGGGTGTCAATTTGACCCTTGAAATGACTCTTTGACCCTTCAACTTTCCAAAGGCCTAATTTGACCCTCAGGATTTTAAGTGAAGGGTCAATTTTTGTTAAAATCATGGGGATTTGAATCATTTGACCTTGTAGTCGGTAAAACATAGTATAAATGACTCTCGATTCAGGATTTCATGGCTAGTGAACACCCTGTTGTCACTGTGAAAGAACCATGTTTTATATTTCAAATTATTGTTACCTTGTAAGTTGACAAGCATTATCACTGATGTGTACATCATAATAATTTTATCTTATCAAAACTACTTTTTAGAATGAGTGATGGAAAAGAGTAATCACCAGTTTAGATAAAATTCTATGAATTTACTTAATATCATTCATGTTGGAAATGTTATTTTTATTTGTGTGAGGCATACCTGAAATTTGGGAAAAATCACACCAATCCAGTGATGTTTAAGTAAATCTTGGAGAATTAAAAAAAGCTCTGTTTTAAAAATTAAATACTGTATTAAAATGAGCCGCGTCATGACAAAACCAACATAATGGGTTTGCGACCAGCATGGATCCAGACCAGCCTGCGCATCCGCGCAGTCTGATCAGGATCCATGCTGTTTGCTATCAGTTTCTCTACATGTAATAGGGTTGGTAAGCGAACAGCATGGATCCTGATCAGACTGCGCGGATGTGCAGGCTGGTCTGGATCCATGCTGGTCGCAAACCCATTATGTTGGTTTTGTCGCGACACGGCTCAAATTATAATGAACATGTACGGTTTCAGTTGGTCACTGTCATCCACATGTAATAGGGGCTGGACAGGAGCAGATGTCCAAGTTGATCACAGCGTATGGTTTTCTCACAGATTGCCAGGTGGAGTATGCTAAACGGATTGTTGAGCTTCTCCCAGAGAGCCTTTGTGTGTGCTATTTCCTCAACTCTGGGTAAAATTTTTATGTTATCAGCAGTATCTAGTATGAAATATACATTCATCTTTTCAAGTATATTGTAAACGCTAAAGGAAACCTGGAGTTTGTTGTCATGCCATTTTTTCTTTATTTTAACACTGCACTAGTAACATTTATCACATTTTAAAAATTATAAATATATATGTGACTTGAGATTTACATTTTTTATATCTTGAATATGATTTTTATATTTATATTAGTGAGCAAGGTAAAATGTTTTTTAGCTCGACTACTCAAAGAATAGCGAGGGGTCGCGGTATTGATACATCCAATCATCAACATCTTATTGGTTAAGTTTTTGCATGCAAGTTGTTTCTCTATAATTACTGAAAGGAAGGGGTTGAAACTTTATTATTTAAGAGTAAAAAAAGGGTCCGAGGCCAATCTAACATTGATGTTGACAGAATTATAATTTATTGTCCTTTCTTAACTAAAAAAATTTCACATTATCCAGACTTTTTGTTTACTACATGTATCAAGCACAGAGAATAAGTCAATCACCCTGTCTATCTTGTTTTTGGTATTGTTTATGTTTCTATGGTCATGTGTATGTTTCTATGGTAATGTGTAATGTTTTATTAATTGTTTTCTAGGTCAGAGGCAAATGATTTAGCCTTGAGATTAGCAAGGTCATACACTAAACAAAATGATGTCATTGTTGTAGATAAGTAAGTTATAAAACTTGAATAATTACTGTATAATGCTAATGACCAATACAATGTGATATGTAAATTCAGTGTAAAGAATGCACAGTAATATAAATTCAAGAGATGAAAGCAAAACAATTGTAATCAGTACTTCATAACAAGTTTATGTAATCGATAGGAATATATGTCTTGTAACATTGTAAACCTGTGGTTTTGTAAAATTATGTTTTTGAAGGCAAGAATGAGATATCAATAGAAGGTATTCAATCCAAAAATAACCATTAAAATGTTTTATGTAGACCACACTTTTTACACTTTGGTACTAATGACATGTCTCAGCTACAGTCTGCGTATCATATCGATTTATTCAGGGAATATACAGTATATAAGAGTACGTCCATGCATGAATAATTCAATAATTTTATAAGAAATAAAATTAATATATTAATGTGTATTTCTGTAAATATTATAGTGCATATCATGGTAACACAGAAAATCTGATAAAGATCAGTCCATCTAGATTAAAACAACACAATCTACCAAAAGACGACTGGGTTCATATAGTAAGTCATTTTGTATTATATAAAACCTAGTATACTTTTGTTAACCTTTATCCTGATTTATTTTGTGTGTGTGAATTTTGCCCTGCCTTTTGATTGGAACTGGCCATTGTTAAATTTTAGGGATTCCAATATCAAAATGATAAAGCAGAATATTTGTTTCAGGTTTGTAGTGCCTTATCACTTGCCATGCTTAATATCTTAAATGGACTTGTTCGTCCTAATCTAGACAAAACCATTTATCATTTTTAGGGAAATTTTTATAATAAGTACTGACTGATTAATGTATAATGCCGACCATGATTAGATTGCACAGTGACAGATGTACGGACTGATATTGGTCTGCACTGGTCACTTGGGTTGAATAAGTAACCACCAGCAGGTCAAGGGTTAAGAGTTATTCGGCCTCTTGATTACTATTAAAGCATAAGAACAGGTTTGAGAATTAGTAATTATGTAATGTTTAAAGAAAATGCAATAAGTTATATGGCATAAGAACAGGTTTGAGAATTAGTAATTATATACATGTAATGTTTATAGAAAATTTAATAAGTTATATGGCATAAGAACAGGTATGAGAATTAGTAATTATATACATGTAATGTTTAGAGAAAATTTAATAAGTTATATGGCATAAGAACAGGTTTGAGAATTAGTAATTATATATTGTTTAAAGAAAATGTAATAGGTTATATGGCATAAGAACAGGTTTGAGAATAAGTAATCAAAAAGAAAATTCATTATTGAATAGGTTATATGACATAAGGAAAGGTTTGAGAATTAGTGATTATATAATGTTTAAAGAAAGTGAACTTCATTATCTAATGGGTTATAATTATGGCATAAATTAATAATTATATAATGTTTAAAGAAATAGGTTATATGGCATGAGATCAGGTTAGAGAATTAGTAATTATATAATGTTTAATGAAAATTCATTATCTAGTAGGTTATATGGCATATTCTGTTTATGTACATTATTCATGTGTGTCATTATATGTTACAACTTTTTTTGGGAATCAACCATATAATAATGGCACCAATATAATTTTACTGTTGATAAATTTTATAAAAATATTTCATAAGATATAGATTTATACCCTTTAAAGTAAACAAGTTGTTTGCCTTTATATAAGGTATAAAGGTCACTGACTTGAGAATATTAGTGAACTAAACATTCATAGAGCCATTGTACTCTACAGTTATAAAAGTTTCAGCTGATTTATGTTAGTAACCTTAACAAGTAAGTTACCAGTCTGTCCTAAGTCAGTGTCCTGGTCTATTTTACATACCATTTATACCTGTTAAAGTGATCTGATCTGATTGGGTCAGAGTCCTCACAATTTATATATCCTAAATGTTAATAGCCTAACTTTAAGTCAGTGATCTTCTTAAGTTATATCAAATATTGTTTCTTATATGTCAGTTTTCTCAATAATGTAAATGACCAACACAGAAGTTTGATATAAAGTCAGAAACTTGTGAAAAAATTGGGAAAGCAGGGTCAAAAAGTTTCAGTGACCTTGATTGACTTTAGTTTCAAGTTGATAAGTGGTTTACTGATCTAGTTATAGTTATAAATGAACTGGTCCATGTTACTTGATAGTTTATATGATTTATCAAACAGGGAATAACTCTCTAAATGGAGGTGTATTCAAAGGAAAAAAATATGTTCTGTAGTGTGTGTAGTTTAAATTCTGTAATGTATTATTTCATAATAGATAAAGAAATGTCTTAATTTATAGAATATTAAACTATTAAGAAGAATAGGAAGAACTTTTATACCCTCATTTTGCATGCAAGTTGGTATCTTCAAAACCACTGAAGAGAATGGGTTAAAACTAAATACACTTATTTCTGAGTTTAATAGGAGGTCACTATCCAAGGCCCATAACTCTGACATGAATTTTTACAGAATTATGTCCCTTTTTGAATTTCAAAAATTCTTCTTTATCCTGGATTATTGAGCAGGCTCTTGTTTTTGACAGCTCTTTTTAAGATTACTATCAATTCATTTTCATTATATGAATATAATTAAAAAATTGTCTGTACAATGTCATGCACTCATTGGGACAAGTTGGTTAAGTGGAAAAGTCATAAATATTGCAAGAACCCAGCCAAAAAACAGTGTTTTGTAACAAAAATGTTGAGAAAACCCTTGATACAGTGGAGCATTTACCTCCACATACACAAAGTTTGATTTTTGTCTATTTTTTGTAATTGTTAATTCCAATTCATATAAATCTGTATAGAATGTTTGTGGAGACATAATTTCACTTTCTGAAGAACCTCGTCTTAAAACTTTTCTGAGAGATATTTTTGTGTGGGCGTTATATTCTTATTTTTCGACATCTATTATTGAATTCATATTTTCATACTGGCAATGGGTATTAGTCAAAGTCTCTTAAGTGACACTTCCTCGAAGAAGCAATTTTAATAAATTGCTTACCTTTTTTCTCATCATTTTTTTTTATGAAATATTAGATTAAACATTTTTATACATAATTAAATAAACAAATTAGATCAGGAAAGAATTATTTATATTTAATAGTTGATGTCAGAAGTTATAATATGTTTAAGCTGTCCCGTAAGCTCAATAGGTAGAGTGTTGGACTATGAATTTGGTTACCCAGGTTTGAATCCCAGAAGCAGCAGGTCACTTTCGTTGTCATTATGAAATCCTTTCTGTGGTCATTCTTACTGTTCCTCTGCTCTGTAATGTACAGAGGGTATCAGTTCCTTGGGAAAGTGAAGGCAACTTGTATTTGTAAACTGCTTGACAGTTTGCCCAGGAATGATGAGGTGACTGAAGCGGGTCTGGTAAATTCAGTGTGGCTTACTGTCGTGTTTTGGAGTGAAAATTACCACCACCACCACCATCATATAAAACTTTAATATAGGCATAACATAATTGAATTTCTAAGTAAAACTTGATCATTTTATAACAATTTTTTTAAATTTTTTTCATGCAGGTTCCTGTACCAGATACATACAGGGGAAAGTATAGGGAAGACTCCCTTAGTCCTGGTCACTTGTATGCTCAGGAGGTGAAAACTGCCATCAGAAAAGCTGTGGACAATGGAAGAAGTGTAAGCATTACTAATATTACTTATGATGTATAACTGATGATATAATTAACTTCATGCATCTACCACATTTATTGTATCTGTGCCCATTACCGCTCTGGGTTCGAATCCCGCTACTGCCTTTGGATTCTTTCGTGTGAGGAAGCAATCGAGTTAGCTTACATGACTTTGATGGTTCTTTTCAGGTGCCCGTTCATGCCTGAAATTCTTCCACCAGTAAAGTTGGAAAGCCTCCACATGACCTTAATGCGACATAAAACATAACAAAAAAATTCTATATGTGCATAAATAAAATCTTTGACGTACATGTAAGATAGATACTGTTTTAAATAAAGGTCATTAACCAATATTTGTTTCATAACCATCGGTATGTTCTGCACCTTCATGAAGCTGAGAGTTTCTGAGTAATTATTCTTATATAAGCACAAGGCAAGAGGCTTACATAAGGTACAAAAAATGTTGCTTACATTCTTGAAAGTTTCTCTGAAATGAGATCAATAATGTTTAATGCTTAATTTCCTGAAAATACAGTATGTTACATGTAAAATATAGAAATCTTGATGGCTATCACTGTAGGTGCACATATACGTATTGGTTTGAATTGAAGTATATTTACAATTTTCTAGTATTTTTATGTATTATATCTATGTTTAAACTTCAGTATATTTTTACAGCTGTCATGGACAGACAGGATAATGATATACCAAGGGTTGATTGCAAAACTGTTGTAAGTCTGTCTTTATTTTATGTAAGTTACTGCAGTTTTGCTGTCAACCCTGGATATCTAAGGTTGTTTTCTGTTTGTTGAAGAATGACATTTATGTATAGGATCTGACATGAGTTGCTGTTTCATATAAATGTTTATTTCATGTACAGTAATTGTTTATTTCATATAAATGTTAATTTTAGATATAAAAATTACACTGGCTAGCTAAAATGTATTTGTCTAAACAAATTAACTAAATGGTTTACCCTTTTTATAAATGCAACACTTGTCAGATCCTTTTTATTATTACATGATTTAAAAAAGGAAAAAAAAAAGATCTGTGTCTATGTATAGATTGGAAGCTGCCAAAGAAAAAAAAATAAAGATACCATGCATAAGAAAAATTGTTTTGTCATGACTTCACTATGACATCACTGTGATTAGCAGGTCTATTTAGTATTTTATTGTATCATTTTGTAGACCATGTCTTGACCATGATCCTACAACAAAAGAATTTCAAGGCTTAGTTATAGCTTTCTGATAGCTAGGATGATTGACATGTCAAAAAAGTTTCCATTGTAGGTCAAAGTACATGTAATCTTAGGTCTCTTACATGTAGATAATTTAATGATGCTAAGATCCAATACTGATGTCACTGAGTGGGGGGATGGCCAAGTTGATAGCACATCTGACTTGTAACCTACGGATTGCTGGCCGTGTGGATTCAAACCCTGTCATTGGCTAGCCTTTGAGTCCGTGAGCAAGAAACCTTATACTCATTGCTTAGTACTTGTTGTTTCCAGGAACAGATTCGAGAGTGTTTCAATAAGCTAATAACTACCAGCAAAAACAAACTAAAATAAATTAGTATAAACTAACACTGAGTCTGTATTTGGGGTCAGTACATGTTTTAAAATGTGCTTGAATTGTAATCTTTAAAACTCTAAATAAAAAAAAAAATCGGTAAGCCAAGAGCTTAACTTCACATATCATAACTATCTATTTTTAAACTGCAATAGTGTTGTAATGAAATTAATAAAAATTAGAAATTATGTATAATTAGCTTTCAATCTTTATAAAATGTACAGATCTTTTTTTCACAGATAATTTTTCACTGTTATTTGAGTGTATATTACAGTATATATGTTATAGTTTATATGTCATGTATATACACAGGTAGCTGCATTTATGAGTGAGCCAGTAATGACAAGTGCTGGCACTATTGTCCCTGCCCCAAACTATTTCAAATATGTTTACAGGTAAAAGATATTGATGCAGAAATCATACATATTTTTCACCATCCTTTTCATGCTAGCATTATTTAACAGTTAAACTTGCATTGCTTTATTGCAAAATCTTTTTTACATTGTTAATCATTTGGAATTTTTGATATTTTTTGTTGAAGTATTGGAACTTTGTTTTCTCTCCCTCTCTCTGAATGTTACTAATTTGGATAACTTTTCCTCTGATTGATTGATTGGTCAATTTAGTATTTACTGCACTGTCACTTTTATACATTGTCTACATTGATGATTTGGGCTCTTACTTCTTTTACAAAATTGACTAACAATATTATATTAAGCACCTATGTCAGAATAATGATTGAAAATAACAAAAAGAGTCTTCAAAATTGCCAAAATGAAACTGTAAAACATCAAACATGGAAAAATTCTGAAACATATTTAAGAAACTGATTTAAAGCATATTTATTGGTTACACAAAATAATCTCTCGATGATAATTTGTATTTGTCAGAAATAAGTATAATAAGTAGAATATTTAAATATTTTACTAAACTTATATGACAACAGTTTGAAAAAATTTACCAGAATTTGTTAGGTTTTCAGGTGAGTGTCTTTAAAATTTATTTATTCGACTTTTATGAAAAAGTATTGTTCTAAAGCAGTGCAAGTGAATTTTAGTTAGTGCATGCCTACTAACATATTTCTTTACATAAAATGCATGTATATCTGCTGTTAATCTAAAATGAGGGAATTATTTCTAAAGGCTGCCCTATATACTAATGAAAAAGAAGTTGTTTTGATGTTTTCGACGGTGGCTGTAAAATAATGGTTTTGAGTCTTGGTAGAGGTTAATTTTGGAAATGGTGGCAGTGTCTTTGTTTTTGTTTTTATACGCCCGTTTGAAAAACGGGACGTATTATGGGAACGCCCCTGGCGGGTGGGCGGCGTCCAATTTTGTCCGGAGGATATCTCCTACATGTATGGAGGGATTTTAATGAAACTTCATAGAAATGTTCACCACTATGAGGAGCAGTGTCGCGTACATGAACCAGGTCTCTAGGTCAAAGGTCAAGGTCACACTTAGAGCTCATTGAAAAATGCTTGTCCGGAGCAAAACCTCCACATGTTTAGAGGGATTTCAATATTACTTGGCACAAATGTTCACCATTGTGAGGCTGAGTGTCGCGTGCAAAATTCAGGTCCTTGCGGCCAAGGTCAAGGTCACACATAGAGGTCAAAGTTCAGATAAAAATATGAAGATGTGTATATGGACCATTTTGTCATCATTTATTGATTGATTGTAATATAAATGGTCATTATCAAGACTATGGCTGTGATTCATATAATTTAGGTCAATATATACAAGGTCAAGGTCACTAAAGATGATGAAATAACCAGATTTTATCCAGAGCATATCTCCTACATGTATTGAGGGATTTTAATGAAACTTCATAGAAATGTTCACCACTATGAGGAGCAGTGTCCCGCACATGAACCAGGTCTCGAGGTCAAAGGTCAAGGTCACACTTAGAGCTCATTGAAAAATGCTTCTCCAGAGCAAAACTTCCACATGTATAGAGGGATTTCAATATTACTTGGCACAAATGTTCACCATTGTGAGGCAGAGTGTCGCGCGCAAAATTCAGGTCCTTGCGGCCAAGGTCAAGGTCACACATAGAGGTCAAAGTTCAGATAAAAATATGAAGATGTGTATATGGACCATTTAGTCATCATTTATTGAGGGATTGTAACATAAATGGTCATTATCAAGACCAAGGCTGTGATTCATATTATTTAGGTCAATATATACAAGGTCAAGGTCACTAAATGATGAAATATCCAGATTTTGTCCGGAGCATATCTCCTACACGCATGGAGGGATTTTAATGAAATTTCATAGAAATGTTCACCATTTTGAGAAGCCATGTCACGCACATTAACTAGGTTTCTAGGTCAAAGGTCAAGGTCACACTTAGAGCTCATTGAAAAACGCTTGTCCGGAGCAAAACTTCCACATGCATAGAGGGATTTCAATATAACTTGGCACAAATGTACACCATTGTGAGGCGAAGTGTCACGCACATAATTCAGGTCCCTGCAGCCAAGGTCAAGGTCATACATAGAGGTCAAAGTTCAGATAAAAATATGAAGATGTGTATATGGACCATTTAGTCATCATTTATTGAGGGATTGTAACATAAATGGTCATTATCAAGACTATGGCTATGATTCATGTACTTTAGGTCAATATATGCAAGGTCAAGGTCACTAAAGATGGTGAAATATCCAGATTTTGTCTGGAGCATATCTCCTACATGTATGGAAGAATTTTTATAATACTTTATGGAAATGTTCACCACCATAATATGTATTGCTCCATGCATGATCCAGGTCTCCAGGTCAAAGGTCAAGGTCACACTTAGAGCTCATTGAAAAACGCTTGTCTGGAGCAAAACTTCTACATTCATAGGGGGATTTCAATATAACCTGGCACAAATGTTCACCATTGTGAGGCTGAGTGTCGCACGCAAAATTCAGATCCCTGCGACCAAAGTCAAGGTTACACATAAGGGTCAAAGTTCAGATAAAATTTGAAGATGTGTATAGGGACCATTTAGTCATCATTTATTGATTGATTGTAGCACAAATGGTAACTATTATGACTACAGGTGTGACACATTTAATTTAGGTTAATATTTGCAAGGTCAAGGTCACTGGAGATGATTAAATATACAGATGTTGTCCGGAGCATATTTTCTACATGCATGGAGAAATTTTAATGTTACTTTATAGAATTGTTCACCACCATGAGACATAGTGCCCTGCACATGAACCCAGTCTCTAGGTCAAAGGTGAAGGTCACAGTTAGAGCTCATAGCAAAACACTTGTCTGGAGCAAAACTTCTACATGCATAGAGGGATTTCAATATAATTTGGCACAAATGTTCATTATTGTGAGGCTGAGTGCCGTGCATAAAATTCAGGTCCCTGCGACCAAGGTCAAGGTCACACATCCTGTGCATATCTTCCCTACTGATTTGTTTTAAGGTTCATTTAACAACACAGTGCCAAGGATAAAAACTTGCTTGCTAGATAACACTTATCCATAATGCCCCAATCTCCATCTAAAGCTTTCGTAAACGGGCGTATTTTGTGACTATGGCACCCTTGTTTTTAATTCACTTGCTATAAAAAATTTAAAGTACTATGATACAGTCTAAATTTGATTTTGAATTGATTGAAAAAAACAAATCCCCACAATGTTTTGATTCAATATAGGGGATTACACATAAAGGCAGATATACTAAGCATATTCATGTTCTAGCCAAACTTTTTTTACAGCAAAGCAAAACCTTTTGGTAAAGAATGTTTTCGTAAAAAGCAAACAATAGAAAAATAAATATCTACAATGATTTACTGTCTTTACTATAAAAACAGCAAGAAACAATTGTAGGAGCAAAGAAATGGGACTGTATAAAAGGTTTGGCAATAATATGTTGTGTGAGTTGTATTAAGCCAATTGATTATAGCAAAGGTGAATATGTACATTTTGTGCATTATTAAAGTTGAACATGTTAGTGTACATTGATGGAGAAGAAAACGTGCATTAACTGATAAAATTAGGGAAGCATGTGCATTTTATAAATGCTTGATTCAGGGCAACATATGAAAATATCTGATTACTTAAGTTTTTAACAGAAAGGTCAAGGTCAACTATTGCATTTTAGTTTTAAAATTTTTTGTCCTAAAACTTATTTATATTTGTTTTGTACAGAATTTATTTTAGTTCAGCTGTGAAGGAAGCTATAAGTTTGTAGACACATTCTCAAATGTTTTCCTTGAACCAACCTAAGAACTGAGCAATGAGTAATGTTTTCTTGCTCTAGGAAACAATGACTTGCCCCTGACATTTGATAGTTTGAACCCATTGGGGATAGATATGATTAGATTACTAGTCTGATGCATGAACCACTTGGCCATGCTGCCACTTTGAAAACATTGTAAAATTTTATATAACATGCAAGAAATTTTGAGATATACTTAGATCAAGTGTCATGGACAAGAACTTAGATGATGGGGAATAGCTGTATCATTTAATTCATGACTTTAGAATAATTTGGCACAACTGTTAAGTATAACAAGACTGAAGAAATAAAGAGATTTTCGGATTTTTTAAAACTTTTATGTCATTCAGTAATCTTTTTGACTGAACATATTGCCTTTTGGCAGGCTAGTCAATAGTCATAAGTCTTCCTGTGTAGAAATTTCTAGAAATTGTAATGCTTGGAGCAGCACCTGAAATCTTCCTCCAGCTGTTAAGCTGTAAGGTCACCATATGACCTTAAACCCAAACATACAAAACCACCTTTCACTGCCTCCTTTAAATCAAACATTGACATCTACTGTATTCATCAGTGTTACTGTGAAGAAATTTTTAGAAGTTGTTTCAGAAGAGCAATAACAGACCCTCTTGTTTGCGCTGTGGCATCATAAATCATCAAATCCATGAATATGTGCTGCCATTGAGAAGTGTAAATCATGTAGAACAGAATAAACATTGTTTTGACTTGATTTAACAGATAGCTGCTTTTATAAGTGAGCCTTTGATGTCAAAAGCTGGAATGGTGATTCCCCCAAAGTTATATCATCCACTCAGTTACAGGTATACTTACTTGGTAAATAATGATCACAAATGATTATAATGTCTCCCAATTGTTGTAAATTAAATGTATTATACAGTGGTCAAAGTGTAAGAAACGTTCAAAGGATAATATTAATATACTTGTGTTGATATTTTTTTTCATTTACAGGCACTAAATATATAAAGCAAATTATCAAACAATTTGACTTATAAATGATTTTACAATATTCGATAAGAGGCTTCTATAAAAAAAGCTTTTGTTAGATTTTAAAATCCTGATAAACAATAATATTGTTGGCTTTTTTTTTCTTTTTTTCTTTTGTAAAAATAATTTCCAAACTTGCATTTAAAGTGAAATTAAAAAAAAAACCATT